CTGCGGTACCAATGGATACCATCATCATCACCATCTGGTTCGTGGCCTGCTCGATGTTCCCGGCACGAGACACCAGGTTGTCCAAAGTGGTCTGGATGAAATCGAGACTCTCCCCGAATGATTCCATTGACCCCAAGATCCTCTGTATCGCGATCACGGACTGGCGAATCTGGAGGAGATCCTCTCCCACCTGGCTCGGATGACTCTGCACGTTCTGAGCCACTTGAATCATCTGGTTCAGCGTCTCTTGCACGTTGCCGAGGGCTCTCAGACCCTCCGGTATATTGTGCAACTGCCACTGTAGCGCCTGAAGATAACCCGCGAGCTGGCTGACTGTGGCGAGCGCTGCCGCGCCCTGCTGGAAACCGTCCGCCTCTTGAAGGATGTCCACGGCCCTCTGGGCTGACCTCGCCGCCGAGCGGGCTGCCTGAGCAGCTGACTCTGGACGGTCGCCTGGTCCGCCGGGCCCCTGTCCGGCCGCGCCCGCGGCCCCTCTCGGTATCCAGGCGAGCCGGGTGCCGCATGCCCGGCACTTGGAGCCGCTCCCCCACTGGTTCCCCTAGTACTGGACCTGATCGGCCGGGTGAGTGCACGCTGCTGCTTGGCTTGTGCGATCGTTCGGGAGCTGCGCTGCGTGCTGATTCCCGCCCGGGATGGCAGCCGGGCCACCCTGCTGAGGAGGAAGTCGCGGCTCCCCCGGCAGTGGCGCCGGCTTCGTAGGGATGGGTGCTGGCTTTACCCCGAGAGTCGGAGCGCTCTGAGCCTGGGGAGGCGCCTGCGTAGCCTGGGGAAGCTCCTGCGGCAGCACGCTGGTCGTCGGAGGCTGCTGCTGCTGTTGTGGAGCCGCCGTCCCTGGCTGAAGTTGCTCAAGGCTCTGGGCCGCCGCGACCTCTGGCGGTGGGTAGGGCGGCGGTGGCGGTTGGTATCCGAGCCCCTGAGGAGCGAAGCTCACTGGCACTGGCTGAGGCGGCAGCTGCGCCGCGTGGGCTGCTGCCGACCAGAGGGCAGGGGTCGCTGATGTCCCCGCCGCTGCCTCCTGGTTCGGCGTCGGCCCCGTCTGGACCGCCGTCGGCTGATCCTGCTGGGCGAGGCTCGGCTCGCCCGGCGTTTCCGTATCGGAGTCCGTCGGCACCGGCTGACTCACACCGCCGCCGTCGCCTCCAGCGCCCGCCACATACTGCTGATGGAGCTCCTGCAAGGGCTGCTGGGTCGCATGAAATGCCCCCGGGAGCTGGCGGGGAGCCGGAGCAGGCGTCGCCGCTGCCTTGGTGATGAAGAGAAGCCAAGCCCAGAACATCTTGGCCGTTGCTGGTGGCTGGTTGGAACAGTGGTCGCCCGATGGTCGGGCCGACTGAGTCTAGCTGATAGCTCGAGCCAAAATGGGCTACGGACCCACCCCCTGCCGGGGGGGCCTCGGATCGTTGGGACTCGGTCCTTGTCGAGGCTCTCGCTGAACACATCGCCTTAGCCGCTCCTGGAGATCTGAGGCTGAGTTCCCAAGACGCTAGCTGAGCCCTGGGCCTGCAGTGCCCGATAAGGTCGTGCTTGAGCCCCTTCCGGAAGATGGCCATCACGAGGCCGTTCCCCATGAGGTAAGCACGCATTCCCTAGACAACCCCCTTGAGACTCACCACCCAGGCACTCACCGTCGTAAGCATGGTAATGGCGAAAATGATGATGACCAGGATGGTGCAAGCCCTCAGGGCTCCTGACTCGAGCATCTCAGGCGCCTCGCCGGCGCCCAGTCGAAACGAATTCTGCGAAAGAAAAAAGATACTTTCGCAGAGCAGACTCCGGCACACTCAGCGGCATATCGAGCGCCTGTACTATATCGTGGCCATCCGGTGGCCTGAGCCGCGACGCGTCAGCTGGACGTCCGCCTCGAGAGTGGCGGAGGTCATCTTGTTCTGGGGCAGGTCGATGGCGCACCCCAGGAACTCCAGGAGGTTGACCGACAAAATGTGGGGAACCTCCTCCCGCAGCACCGCCGCCTCGATGATGTCCAGCACGCCCCCGAGGCACAGCGGGAAGAGCACGGATGTCACGACCTTCGCTGCGCCCCCCACTCCATGTACTGCTCGAGGTCGCTGATGCTGCCGTGGGATCAGCTCGTACTTCATACCGATGGCCGCGAGGGCCTTCGACTCTCGGTTCAGCGCCGCGAGCCCGACCAGGTCCGAGCCCGCCCCCGGATCCACGAGCCCCTGGGTCGCCCGGGCCACCAAGTAGATGCAGCCGTCGTCGAGCAACTCCTGGCCGACCTCCTTCCAGTCCTGCATGGTCTCGGGAGACACTGCCCACGAGCCCGCTGGATCGGACGCGAAGCCATCGAAGGTGTACGCGGCCAGGCCGCGCTTCTTGAACTTGGGGTCGCCCTTGTGGGGGCACTCGCGATGCCAGTGCCCCTTCTCCTTGCATATCCCGCACCTCGTGATCTCCATCAGCTGCTCTGGAAAGAGTCGGGCGCGGCGTCCTTTGCCACGTCCCTTGCCTCGCTCCTGCCTGCCGCGACCTCCGCCGCTGCTCCCAGATCTGCGGGGAGGCGGCGGCGCCGCCCCAGTCTTCTTGGAGCCGAAGTGCTCCCTGTCGCGCTTGGCCGCACGCTTGATCTCCTGGTTATGTTTCCAAGTCTGGCCTGTCGGTCTGGACTCTATCATTGCGAGGGCCTCCTCCACCTGGGTCTCGTCCAAGTCGAGGTCCTCGAGCTCGGCCAGCAGCGCTGCTTCGTCGTCTAGATCGGCCTCGTCGTACTCCTCCTCGTCGTACTCCGGGTCCTCGGAACCTTCTGAACCACCGACCGGGAAAGAGGAGGGAGGAAGATAATTCTGCTCGCTGGGGCCCTCGCCCTCAGCGAAATTGCCAGACGCCCTACCTGGCAAAAGTCGCTCAGAACCTGAGGCATCCATCTGCCTCAAGGCACAACTCACATCACCGTACTCGAGCTTTCCTCGGGTGAGGGTCTTGAGATTTTGCATTCCCTGGGCAGTCAGATTGGCCCCCTCCTCCAGCATGAGTCCCTTCATCTTGAATGATATCCAGAGGTCGTTGGTCTCGGCCTCCTGGAACTGGGCCTCTCGCCGACTTACATACTGGAAGAGGGTCTCTTTGCTCTCTCGGGTGGCCTCGAAGAGCGCACGTCGACCTGCCCGACGGAGCTCGTCTCCTTCGCACTCTCCGATCATCAGGCCCATACGTCCGAGCACCACGTCGATCCAGTCCTGGCCAGTGATCTGGGCCTCTGGAATGTCGTCGAACTTCGCCTGCATCATGTAGTCGAACAGCTTCAAGAACTTCTCGCCTCGTCGCCAGCGGGGCACATCAGTGTTAGTGTTCCAGCGCCTCAGCGCCCTGCGCCAGGGTCTATACTGGGCCCATCCGGGCCACGCTGGTGGGTCTGAGCAGTCCCCCTTCGCCCAGTTCTGACCTGAGCTAGCCCACCAGCCGTCTTGCCACTTATCGCCTCGGCCAGTCGTCTTCCAGCCGTCGTCCTGCCACCTGTCGTCTTTGCCGCCCGGTCTATGCCAGGCGTGCGACGGGTCGGAGCCAAGGCTCCACGGATCCGCTGCTGCTGCCTCCCACCAAGGATCTTTCGGTTTCCCGTCGCCGTCGTCGTCAGTCGTCGTCCTCCGAGAGGTCGAGCCGGCAGCCTCAGCCGTCTCTGCTCCAGCTCCAGACGGCCGTGTAGCACTCATGGTCTCTCGAACCGTGCCAGCCACTATCTCTCGAACTTGGTCCATGGAAATCGTCACTATGCCGCCGGACGCCGTCGCCTCAGCCGCTGACTGCCCGCTGGGGCGGTCTGGGCCGAACGTCGCGCCGGCGATGTCGTCGTCCTCCGCGGGCATCTCCGCGGCCGCGCCGCGCCAGCGGCGCGAGCCTGGCCCTGGCCGGGAGCGCTAGAACGGCCTCCGGGCGCGGCCCTCAGAGCCGCCACCCATTGCCACCCATTGGCCCGCCAGCCTGGAACCAGGCTCCGCTACCAACTGTGGCAGCAGCAAGCGCAGAAAATGTTTTTCCCTTGAGCCAAACATGAGTACGCGTAGAATCACGACACGCACACTAAATGCAAAATCTGAGACACGAATTATGCTCACCTGTTTCATCTCTGTCTTCTGTCCTCCTCCCCCTCCGCGGCCCTCTTGGGCTCAAGTTTCCTCTGGGGCCCTTCCCTCCCAGGTACCCTCCCTAGGCCCGTTCGGCTCTCGCCGCATCGCGGTTGGAGCCTGCCGAGGAGCCGCCGTCGGCGGCCGAGGAGCCGCCAGCGGCGGCTCAGCAGGACGACTGGCGCGTGGCGCGCCTGCGGACGCCAAAAAGGTTCGCCTGCTGCTGTTGCTTTTTCCAGGCACGCGCTCACTCAAACCGCCCCCCTGGGGTCCCAGGGGGTCCGAGGGGGGTCGCCAGGGGGGGTCCCCGGGGAGGTTCTGCATACGGGGTCGGCGGCACAGGCCACAAGGCCTTCCCAATAGAAGCCCCAAGACAAAAAGGGGAATACATTGTCCTCCACCTCCTCCTCCTCCTCCTCCTCCTCCTCCTCCTCCTCCTCCTCCTCCTCCTCCTCCTCCTCCTCCTCATCCTCCTCATCTTGGTCTTCCTCCTCCTCCTCCTCCTCATCCTCCTCATGCTCCTCCCCACGTCGCCCCTATCACAATCATTGTCCTTCTCCTACTTCTCACGACAGGCACCGCAGCAGCGTGGTCCTCGGCCGCCACCTCTACCGCCTCCTCGTTTTCCTGCTCCTTGGCCCCATCCTCCTCCTCCTCCTCCTCCTCCTCCTCCTCCTCCTCCTCCTCCTCCTCCTCCTCCTCCTCCTCCTCCTCCTCCCTCCTCCTCCTCCTCCTCCTCCCGCCGCCGCCGCCGCCGCCGCCGCCGCCGCCGCCGCCGCCGCCGCCGCCGCCGCCGCAGCCACCGCCGTCAGCTCCTCCTCCTCCTCCTCATCCCCCGCCTCCGTCCTCCTCCCTCCCCCGTTCACCCTCCTAAACCTCTTCAGCACCCACAGCCGCCTCGCTGGCGGGGAGCGACTTGTCGGCCAGATCCTCGCACCCAGCGCGCACCTGCTCTCCCTCCGAGTCCCTCTTCCTCCGCGGGCCCAGCACTCCACCCGAACCCTCGATAATCCCGTCCGTCCATCCTCCCCAACCTTCCCTCGTTCTGCACCTCCTCGCGCTCCCCCTCCACCCCTCACTCGGTCTCCCCCCCCTCTTCCCCACCACCCCTTCTCCACTTTCCCAGTCCTCCCTCGTTACCCGCTCTTGGCTGCAAAAGAGGCTCCACCTGAATCGAAGATCGACCGAATCACTTGCACTGTCGGGATCGGTCGAAGCCACGCGCAAACATCGGCGCGTATCATCGAATCGGCAGAATTGTGCAGCCCCGCCCATCCGACAACTATCGGATGCTCATTGACGGAGGGGCAATATAAACGTGGGATAAAGAAACGTGCACCTGTTGGGCCCGCGGTGGCGGATCTGGGGCCGCTTAGGACCCCTTTGGGTCCACGTTCCTGCAGCCCTCGATCCCCCACTTTCGGCTGCTGGGTGGTACAGCAGAGTTCAAGCTTCGAAAATGGAGAGATGACGGGGAAAGGGAGGGGATATCAAAATAAGGGAGAGTAGAGCAAGTGTGACAATGTATTGTGATCGAGCCCAGCACCTTTATTTATGGTGGGAAACAGGCTATGGGACGCATCTGTCGGTTCTAGCTCTTACTGTCCACATGCTGCTGCTCTCTGCCAATACCTGAGATTTAACTCCTGCAGTCCTCGATCCCTCACGTGTGTTGCCCCCGCCCCACTTTCATCGAGCGTCTCGCGGTCCCCGCTGCCCCCATCCCTCGCTCCCTGCGGGCCCACGCTCCCCGCCGACGCTCGGGCAGGTTACTTGCCTCGGGTGCAGGAGCAGAGGAGGGAGGAGGGAACAGAGGGACGGAAGAAGGAAGGGGCGCGGACGCGAGGGCGAGGACGCGAAGGCGAGGACGAGGACGATGGGAGCGATGGGGGATATAGAGGACGATGAAGACGAGGGTGACCTGGAGAATGAGGCTGAGGCTGAGGCTGAGGACGGGGACGAGCATGAGGATGAGGATGAGGATGAGGCTGAGGCTGAGGCTGAGGCTGAGGCTGAGGCTGAGGCTGAGGCTGAGGCTGAGGCTGAGGCTGAGGCTGAGCATGAGGATGAGGATGAGGATGAGGATGAGGATGAGGATGAGGATGAGGATGAGGATGAGGATGAGGATGAGGATGAGGATGAGGATGAGGATGGGGGGTAGAGGATGGAGGATAGAGGATCAAGGTGGGGATGAGGATGTTATGAAAAGGGGGGCATGGCAGTGTATAAACACGAACCGTCTGCCCGATACGTCTGCCTCTGGTTCCCCGCCGGGTTGGAATGACGCAGGGCCTCC